CAGCAGCAGGTGGTTTTGATAAAAACAACCAAAAAACTGCTACTGAGTACATTCACTTGCCAATACTTTTCCGACTAAAAGCAGTGCACGCTTATTATCAAAAATTTAACTCTGCTAATGCTGGTGAGGATGATGACAACTGTGGTGTACAACACTTTTAGTACAACTTTTATTGGCAGTTTTACTAACTGTTTTTATATAGCCACACTCTGTACAATGTTGCAACTATAAAAGGTAGTCATCAGGCAGGCAGTTCTTTGGTGCGTTTTTAATGTTTTCCAAAAAACCTAATATTTAAAAATGATTAAACTTACTTTTGTTTTAGTTTGTTTAAGTTTCAGCCTGATTGAAGCGGCTTATGCTGGAGTTAAAGTTCCAGCAGCAGCAGTGCCAGAGACCTCAGGACTGCTGCCCAATCCAACCGATTTGCTGCCCAATGTGACAAACATTTTCAAGCAGTTTGCCGACCTGATGGGGAACGGCCTCTGCGGCATTGACCTGGAGCACCTGGTCACCAATGACCCGGATGAGAAGCGATCCACGGTACAAAAAATCCTGTTTTTAGTTTTTAGAAACTAACAGTTTTAACAATTATCTTAAAATTTTTTTTTTAACAAAACAGTGCGAAATAATCGAGGCAAAGGGCTTTCCCTGTGAGCGGCACAATGTGACCACCTACGGCGGCTACATCATCGAGCTGCACCGAATTCCCGCCCAAGGTCCTCAGGCCTCAAATAAAACCAAAAGACCGGTCATCGTTCAGGCAGGCCTGGTNCAAAAAATCCTGTTTTTAGTTTTTAAAAACTAAAAGCTCTAACAATTATCTTAAAATTTTTTTTTAACAAAACAGTGCGAAATAATCGAGGCAAAGGGCTTTCCCTGTGAGCGGCACAATGTGACCACCTACGGCGGCTACATCATCGAGCTGCACCGAATTCCCGCCCAAGGTCCTCAGGCCTCAAATAAAACCAAAAGACCGGTCATCGTTCAGGCAGGCCTGGTGGGCACTTCCGCTGACTTTATCATTGGCTCTGCCACCTTTGATGCGACCAACACTTCTGAAATGAGCGGAAACCTTGGATTGGAACTCGCAAAGCGAGGCTACGACGTTTGGCTGTCAAACAATCGGGGCGGAAAGTACGGCATGGCCCACCAGACCCTGTCAGCAAAAGACACCAAATTTTGGAAGTGGACCTTTGAGCAGATGAGCGAACAGGACACGACGGCCATTGTCGACTTTGTCCTCGCAAAGACCGGCGCTGAGAGGCTCCACTACGTCGGGCAGTCGCAGGGAACGGCGCTGATGTGGGCGTTGCTGGCGACCAATGAGACGATTAATGCCAAACTGGCCAGTTATGTGGCCATTTCTCCGATCACCAGGCTAGGCAATGCCAACACCACCGGACGGGCTTTTATCAACATCTTTGAGCCGTTGCTGTAAGTTCACTTTATCAACAGGTCTTATCAACAGCTAAAAAACCTACTCTTATTTTTATTTTAGTGAACACGATGGACCGATCTTTACGCCTAATAAAGTGCTCGATGGCGCCGTTTCACTTGCTTGTGACGCCTTTGGCTCCCGGATTGCCTGCAAGCTGGTACTCTTCTCGCTGACCGGGCCAAACTGTGATGAGCTAGATGAGGTAGGAGTTGATAAGCTAAACTAGTAGTTAATTAACTAGTAAATTAACTTCAACTTTTTTCCAGTCTCGATTGGGCGTCATCATGGGCCACATGCCCACTAGCACCTCCCGTCGAAACCTGCTCCACTACAAACAACTGATGGACACTGACCGCTTCAAGCGGTACGATACTAATCCGCTGCTGCCTACCGCCAAGGACTATCCCCTTGATAAGATCAGCCTGCAGCCGATTCTGGTCATCTACGGCCCCAACGACTGGGTGGTGCCGCTGGCCGGCGTTGAGAAGCTGAAGAAGGACCTTCCGGGGCGGACTTTTTATGCGCTCAGCAATCCGCAGGCAAATCACATCGACCCGCTGGTGGGAAAGCGGTCCGCTCCGGAGACCAACTGGCAGGTGGCGCGCTATATTGAGCAGAAAGATTGACAAAACAGCATTGATAAGCTAGTAAATAAAAATGTTTTTTTGTATTCTCAAAGTAAATTTTTGTAGAAAAAGTTTCATTTTGTTTTTTAATGGTTAATATTATAAACCTGTTTTTATTTTATCAAAAACTAAAAGGTTTCAATACTAAAGATGTGTCTAAATGGTTTATTAAATAATTTTAAATAACAGGTGTTGCAAGAGTTGCAGCTGTGCTACCACCCTAATATTGTGTTCATTTACAATTTATTTTAAATTT